CCCCCCCCCGTGCCCTTGCCGTCTCTCCGTCGTGGAGTGCGCCAGGACGCCGTGGGTGGCCTGCTGAGGCCGCCTGCTCGTTCACAAAGTGTAAAGGTGGTGGTTTGGCCATTATTCGTCTTCCATTTGGTGAGATTGCCAAATTCAGTCAGTACACCGCCTCACCGTGGCCCTTCTTTCTTCTACCTACTGCTGGCATCACCTCCGTGGCCAGTGCCAGGCGACACGCCGGGGCGAGGTGCGAGTGAGGGAAAGGCGCTGCTGGGTGGCCACCGGTGGCTGTAGAGCCACCGGGCCCTGGCGGCCGGGCGGTGAGGGTGGCTGCCACTCCCTTTCTTAGACTTCAAGCCACGGGCAACTAACCAGAAGCGAGCAGACTGCAAGGGGAAACCGAGAGCTGAGCAGTCATCCGTTTCTGCCTTGTCTTATTAGAGAAAAGTCACAGGAGCCCGCAGAACCTGCACTGACCGAGAATAACACGTGTTGCCAAGACCAATCCATCTCGAGCCCTAGTCAATGGTTTTGCTCCAGAAAGCAATAGTTCCTCACTTAACTCGCTGCCCAATGCTCTTCCCCTGCCCCCCTCGGACACGTTAGGACCAGGCCCTCTTCCATGGCGGGACAAACGTCAAACTGCTCATATAAGGATCATGTGAATACTATCCCGGGTTTTCAGATCAACTTTTCTTACCTACTGTAATTTAAATAAATTGCATTTACATGCCTCGTCTCTGTAACATTGTGTATACAAAACCAAAATTTCTCCAGATGTAAATTATGTACACCTGCCAAGATACCTTCTCCAGGGTGTCTGTGCACATTTTAAGTTAATTCATAGAATATAAAATGACTCAATGTGACTGTTGATTTGCTGAACTCTACATATCACAAAGTGGGTTATCTGTGGTACCTTAGTTAGTAAAATGGTGATTTTTTTTTTTTTTTTCTGGGTTACCGAACAAGCAAGCATTACCCAGGTGATCTGGCGATGACTTCGTGTGTGGGCCACAAACATGGATTTTTTTCCCATTAACCGATTTTTTTTTGTTGTTTTTTAGAAACTAATATGTTTCACACTACGGTTTGTGTAACTTGTGTTCGCATTCTCTGTGTTGCTGTTACTTTTGTGCTTTTATTCCTTTTAAACTTTATTTTGAAAAAGAAAAAAAAAAAAACGAAACAAAAAACGAGCTCCTGTAATCTGCACTTCCTCCCGATCCTTCGATCTCTTGTATGGCAACCAAAATGACTGTAAGAGAAATAAATATACGATTGCACTAAGGTTGTGGCTCTGATTACACACAGTGTAGCTGTCTGAGTGGACGAGTTGCCAGCTTGCGATCTCACGCAGGTAGGACAACACCGCCACTCTACCTCTGTGCAACTGAGCAGGTACTAGGTTTCGTCCAAGAGTAAGAACCTTCCTTCCAGCAGCTCACCTGCCGTGGTTCTGCTTCCTTAAAGCGCTCTCGTGACGCAGACGGAGACACGCCTGACTTCAGAGCCAAGTGCGTGTCAGCGTGCACGTCTGTGAGCTCCAAGAGCCCAGCCGAGGCCCGGCCGTCCTCTCTGGTTTGGGACGGCAGTGGGGGTGGGGCCGAGGGGGAGCCGGAGTCACAGCTCTCCTTGAAGCACAGACCCCGATGCCCCCACCTGCTGGTCTTCCCCCCACCAGGCTCTGGGGCCACAGCACCGGGCGGCCTCTGTCGTTCCCACGAAGCCAGCCATGTTGTGCTAAGCCGGCGGGCCCCAAGCCTCGAGGCAAGAGGATTCGGGTCCTTTGGCAAAGAGCTGAGCCGGGGAGACACGGGCTATCCCTTTGCCTGTAGGGAAGTAGGTTTTCAACACCGAACCTCTTCTTTGGCCTCGTCAGTGAAAACCTGAGGTCTCTGGTTCTTGGACACTTTCTACTGTTTGGGCACATTCTCCATCTGCACAGCGGCCACTATGTTTCTGTGCTCACGAAAAATTCTAAGCCTCAGATCTCTCGTAGTGTCCTCTCCCCTAGGCCCCCTGCCTCGCTGTCTGGTGGTCTCTCCCAGACCTTAACCACCCCCATCACCTCCAGTGGTTTCTTCCAGACCTCCTCTAGGCTAATGTAATCAGTTTGTCTTGCGGGGGGAGGGGGAAAATTCGAAGCGTTTTTCCTTCCGTCGTACTTTATTTGAGGCGTTTTAACAAGCAGGGCACTGGAGTGTCTGTCCACACCTGTAGCTCTCCGTGTAGACACCGGGTGGTTGGAAGCCCCACGGCACCCGGGGGAGCACAGTCCCTGCTGCCCCGGGGCAGCCGTGCTCCCGGGGGGGACTCGGGGAGTTTCCAGATGCGACCCTC